AAATCGGAAGATTATGTTTATGTACATTACTTTTCTCTGTGGAATTTTGAACGATAGGTTTTGGACAAAGTTTTAAAATTAAACGATTGACCTGTTCCTTTTGTGACATAATAAAGTTATCTTCAACGAAAGATTACCTTTTATTAGACTCGTGAACAAGGTATACAAGGAGCTGTAATGACATCGAAACTATGATCTAACATTATTTTCTTTCCATTCTTTGTGATTCATATTCATATTATCTAACAAGCACACTTGCAGAAGTCAACCACCTTTTGTTGTTGATTGATTGCACAAGCTGTTACCTACTGGAAAGAACAAATCTTTTAATTAAGTTTGACATCTATAGCTACTCAGATAACGCTTTACGTGTAGAGGTTGAGGATGCAGTTTTCATTTGTTTGTTGTGTACACAAATGATACATTTCTCTACATGTGCATTTTATTTTATTTGAACTGCGACTATAGTCGAGAAACTTGTGATTCCACAGACAAGAATCTTGTTCCTTGCTTTTACAGACAAGCGACTTGCCCGTATTCTGCTTTTATAAGATTCTTGTCTGTGGAAGCACAAGCTTCTCGACCGGTGTGTTATAAGATTATTTATACAACAAGGTGACGCTTGTCTGCACTCCTTGACTTTAGGGACCCCTATGTGCGAGTGAACTTCCATGATTTTGAGTCAAAGCCAATGCGCATACCTTCCTTCGATTGGTGTTTCTATCCACAGTATGTTATGCATTTTTCTCGAATTTGATGTGTAAGCTTCGGAATAAGTCTAAAAAGTTTATTCCAGACCCCCCTAAGATCCAGAAAGGTGTAAATACATTTTGTAATTCAGAGGAATGCTCCAGGATCCCTTCCATTGGAGTTCGCAGCCAAAATAGGTTAAAAATGTTGTGATTTCACAGAAAAAGCACCTAGTGTAATATTGAGCTGAAAAGTTTTCTGGACACCCTCTGAAGATTGCAACGGTAGTTGATGTATTTAAGATCGATTTTCTACAATGAATTATGTATATTCTAAGTTTTATTATCCGTTGATAACGTGTTTTGTTATCGTCAAAATTTAGACTAATTTCCGACGACATCTATCTCGGAATCACAGAAAAGGTTTGCTTGGCTTTTTTTCTCTCTGTATCAGTAAATATTTTAGCCATCGGTTTGAATATTTTCTCTTTCTCTCTCGTGGTTATATAAGAATTGTCTATTTTTCGCTCTTGTGATTGGGTTATCCATGAAATATCTCACAGCCATTTTTCGTATTTTGCGCACAGTCACGCAGAGCACCATTTTGTAAGACCCTAGACTAAAGTCAAAGGAATAATCAATAGAACCTTTAATTGTCTTATTTATATTTTTGTTTCTGAAGTTGTTCTATTTTAAACTTTTATTTCTCTGCGGTATTTTCAACAATCATACTTAGTCATTATCTAAAATCATCTTTTTCGTTCAAGTAAACATGTGCTTTTATTACACAACATTCACTTAATGTGAAGCAACGTTGACAGCTGTGTTGCAAGGATAAAATAGGTTTTAAATAGTCAGCACGAGTTTTTCATAATAAATAACTGTGTTTATGTACAAACCCACTAGTTTTTTATTTCTCTTCCCTTTCAGCATCAGTTGATCCCATTTTTAACGGTACCTTTTATATTTTGCAATAAAAATGGCTGGTATGACGTCTTCACATACGAATCCATTATGCCCGTTGTGTCGTAGTGAAAATATAAAAATTTATGCCGTTGGTGATTGCACACATCCGGTGTGTTATCTTTGTTCAACAAAAATGAGAGTATTGTGTAAACAACATTATTGTGCTATTTGCAGAAAAGATTTACAAAAGGTGAGTAAAACTACTAGACAAAGAAAAACACTGCTACTTTTCGAAGCAACATCTGAGTAAAAACATAATTATGACTTAATGTATGATTATCATTAATGACTTGTTTCTTCTTTTTGTTTAGGTCTATTTCGTCTCTGATTTATCTGCACTTCCAGTAGATACTAGCAAATTTGTTTCTCTACAAACAAATTTTTATCATGATGGCAAAACAAACAATAGTACAGAGAATGGCGGCGATGTTATTGACGATGGAGATGGTGGCATATATTATCCATTGAAATTTGAATGGATTAAACGATCAACCGAAAAATTGTTGAGAAATTTCTGTCCTTTTTGTTCTCTGGAATGTGAAACATTTCTCCAATTAACCATTCATGTGCGGAAGGAACATGGACAATTTTATTGTGAATTATGTGCAGAAAATTTAAATCTATTCGCAAATGAACGTAAAACTTATTCAAGGCGTGATCTTCTACAACATATGCGTTATGGTGATAAAGACGGTGATACCGTGTTCAAAGGACATCCAATGTGTCAGTTTTGTGATCAATCTTTTATGGATACAGATCAATTGTATAAACATTTGAGAAAAGAACATTTCTATTGTCATATGTGCGACAACGATAATGTTTATTACAGGTGAATACACTGAAAGAGAATGACGTCTTTAACTAAATATGAAAGTGATAATTATTACATGATAAACTTCTTTTCATTATAGTGATTATGAACTACTTCGTGATCATTTTCGTTCGTCTCATTATCTGTGTGAAATAGGTGAATGTAAAGATGTTCAATTTACAAACGCGTTTCGTAATGAAATTGATTTTCGTGCCCATCAAGCAAATGTTCACAGTAGAAATCGTGCCGAAGCTCGACAATTTGGTACGATTCCCATGGAATTTCAATTAACTTCAAGAGATCATTATCATTCTCATCACTCTAACAATCGACGACGAAATCCAGTTAACAGAGGTAATGATGTATACGTGTATTATAGTTGATATAACAGGCTTCATCCTTGCTCTTCTAGGAACATTCAGTGAAGGACAATTTAAAACCCAAAATAACAGTAACCGGTATGATTTTGAGATATTGCTATGCTGCATAAAATGCAGATTATTATAGTTCTATTTTAGTACTAACAATAGCGACGATTTCGTACCAGATACTCAACCATTACCGCATCCACCCACTGTACCTACAATTGATGAATTTCCACGCTTAGGAGCTGTAACGAGTGCATCATCTGCTACCACGAATTTAACAGCTTCAATCGCTTCATCTCGACCTACGATCGATGAAAAACCTCAAAAGATTCAATCGCAATATTTACGTGGTGCTTGGATAAATGATGCATTGAATCGCAGCCATTCTTCTGACGATTTTCCAGCGCTAGTAGCTGCTACTTCATCAGTTGATTCTACAGAACAACCAAAAGGAGCTTGGCGTCAACAACAACAACAGCAAAATCGTCCCTTAAATCAGCTTAGGAATGAGAAACAAAGTCGATCTGTTCACGCTGAATTATCAACAGCCACCCATGATACTTTCGCAACAACAGCAAAGAAAGCCGCAGTAATACCATCGACGAAAGAGGATTTTCCAGCATTAGCAGGAGCAGCGAATACTCGAGCACATCCAGGTGGAAGACAAGCCAGAATTCCTCCACCTGTCATACGATCAGCGTGGATTCATCAAGAAAAATGTAAGTTGCATTTCTACTTATGATATTTCAAGTTTTTTTTCTTGATGCACAGGTTTATTTACGCCGCTCGGAAGCGCTAGTAAATTCAATAGAAGTACAGAAACAAAAAAGAAAAACAAAGAAACTATACTTCACAGATAAAATTCGTGCGATAAAAAGAAAATTTCTGTCAGATAAATATGCACTTGATTTTCTTGTTTATTCTTTTGATAATTATATCACTCGATAAACAGTACATGAAAAAGATGTATGAAAAAAACAACAACTAATAAGCGGTGGGAGAGAGAAAATAGCAGAATAACCTGAACTATTGTGCAGAATAATTAACAATAAATTCTAGCCATTTAAGGAATAACGATTCATGACATTCTAATTGATTTTTTACGCGTTTTAAGCGAGAGAAATGATCCACTTGCACCCTTCTATTGACTTTGTAATCATTCCAATAGAAAATATCAGTAAAGAATATCGATCTACTTTAGTCTGACGTATAGAGAGTTTCTAGACGACGGGTGATATATTTTACAACATGAAAGCTTAATTCGTTTTCTTTAACCACATTTAACAATTCATGTGCAGGGATAGTGATAAATAATGAGTATTGCCGCACGATATTTCTTGTGAAAAAGTTTCTGATAAGACATTGGCAGGACGGGAAAAAATGGTAAAACCCACGAAAAGTGTGGAAAGGAATGCGCGAAGAAACACTGTATTAAGACAAAGTGTTAAACACTTTGCTTGAAATACTCGTACTTCTTTTTAACCACTGCAGTTTTATATATGACTGTTGGGTATTCTCTAAACATTTATCAACTGTTACTT